ACTATTTTGTTAACACATCTGTATAAGATACATAATATATTTTATGCTTCGTCCAAACATAGATATTATGATAAAGAAGCAAATCGTTTGTCTGTGATCACAAAAAACAGTATTCTTAAAAATAGTAGTATGTAGTAGTATGAAAATATTAGTATAATAGTATGTTAGATGCCGATATGGAAATACTACTTCCAAGATCTGAGCGGTAGAAGATGAATGAAAGCATTATTACATGATATATTTTATGCATTATCATACAAAATATGTAACAACAATAAGCAACAGAATACAAATATTATCATTAATATACGAAATGCATGAACTACTAACTCATAATATATTTTATGCTCTTTCATATCTTAGTACAAAATAAAGATACAGTAAAATATTGTACGTAAAACCGAAATGCAACATATAAACAAGAATAAAAACAATTTATACAAATTTTAAACAATTTGCTTTTTTCCATTTCTCAACTTCTCTTCATGCTGCATAGCAATCGATCATTATCATTAAACCGATATGAATTCATCTCCCCTCTTTTTATTTTATTTTTTTGTAGACCCAATATCGTTATCCACTGAGCTGCGCACATGAACAATTTGAGACATTTCAAAAATTATTTAACTACTATTTAAATGGCAGTCAAGAGCGCGGTTGAGAGGCCTTCAATCCATTTACGAAGAACTTCAAAAAGAAATTAAAATTATAGCAAAGCTCATGAAGCATACGAGCAAAAAAAAAAAAAAAAAAACGAAAGGCAGTCAAAAACCTGTTTTGGCTGGAAAACAGCAACAAAAATTTTAACGAAGAAGCAGAAATTGGTATGATATTGTACGTAAGCAGTAATTGAAGTTACCGTAATTATAAACGTAGCCAGCAACAAGAACTTGCAAACAATAAAATTTAAGTAGGGCTTATGTTTTGTTTTTCTTTTTTTTTTAACTACGAATATTAAATACACTGAAATGGTGTGAAACACCACCAATTCATGATTGTAAATAATATGATCGTTTGGCATACCTAATAAATGACAAGAAACAAAGATAGTTGATTGATGATGATATAAAGATATCTTTTCAGATTAAACACTTAAAAAAAAAAATAAATAAATAAATAAATTTAAAAAAATAGGCACAGAGGATAAATGAAACAAGTTTTTTAGATATATAAAATATATGAAGTTAATAGAGTTTATATACACCTATTTGGCATATATATATATATTATTTATAAAAAATAATTAAAAGTTCTAACTAAAAAAAAATAAAAGTTTAAGAAATAAATATATGTATAATTTTTATTTATTTATTATTAAATAATAAATAAATTACCATGTAACAAAAAATATATATATAAAAACAAAATGGAAAAAGTATTGTAATAAACTTGTTTATATAATCGATGATATAAAATATTTGGTTTTTCTTTATTCTAAATGCATCTATTAAATTAAATTTAGTTATTATGGAAATTAATAACTAATATAATATACCATTATAAAAACCAGTCATATTTATGCCCAGTTGGGTATTTAGAATTCATTTTTCGCCAGACAACTGGAAGTAAGAGCCCGAAACATTCCTCGGGGGGCTACGCTTCTTTACGCAATTAACATGGACAAATATTTATTTTTTGAGCGAGTAAAATGAAAACTTATTCATTTGCGGTTCACATCAAATTGTGCAACATTTCATACTGTGGGTGCCAAGCCAAGCGTAAGTGGAGCACAAGTTCCTTTTCTCCAGTTATAAGACGAAAAACGTGCACTTTACGTTTTTCCTCAGTACCAGAAAGATGAGAAAACGAAAATGAATAACAGCAAAAATAATAATGAAATAAAACAACATTCAAGGTTTTGAGGACATTGACGCAAAGTTCAGTGAGTGAGTGAGAAAGGAATGAGAGATAGTGTGTAAGAAGCAGAGAAGTTGAGGCGACAACAACAAGTTTGTATTGGAGCATACAATGCATATAGAGATACAGATGCATATATTTATTTATAATTTTTTTTTTTTTTTTTTTTTTTTTTACAACTGTTTAAATGCTTATCAAACAAATGAGTAATTCAATGATTTTTGAGACAAGGGAAGAAAGAAAACTATATAAATATATTTTTATTTATGAATTAATAACAGTTATTTCGGTTCAGCTTTTTGAATTTACTATATTTTTAATTTTAATTTTTATTATTTTACTATTTTATTCAGCTTTAAAAACTGTTTTCTGTTCAGTTCTTCAAATAACGAAGTAAAGTATTTATTTGTTATTGTTATTTTTTACTCAGTGAATGAAAACCAGCGAAATATTTCCGAGAAAATGGAATTATTATATTAATAAATATAATATAAATATAATACTGTTGAATTTTAGTAATTAAAAAAGTCATAATAAAAATAAAAGAAATTTTCAAAATAATTTATGTTTTTATTTTTTATTTTATTTTGAAATTAATAAATGAATAATAATTGTTAAAGAAAATTTTTATTGCTTTAAAGTAATATTTCATTAATTTAATTTTTTATTTTTATTATTATTTTTTTAATAAAATTTTGTTTTTTTTGTTTTTTTGTTTTTTTTTTTTTTTTTGAAAACAATATTGAATTAGTCCTTAATTAAATTACGCAACAACAGCAACTCAATGCAACATATAAAAAAATATAAAAAAATATTTAAATTTTTATCGAAATATTTGCATTTTGTTTTCCTTTTAAGCTTTTCGCTATATTATGACGTAGTTTGTCTCAAAAAAGAAATAAATAAAAATAAATAAATAAAAAAATACTTTTTAACACGCACACTGTACGAATTCTCTGCAAAACTCTCCATATATCTCTCTCCCTTTCGCTCTCCTTCTCTTTTGCATTGTCTCACTGTCTCTCTCTCTCTCTCTCTCTCTCTCTGTCTCTAGCTGTCTATGCGTGATTGTCTTATCAGCAAGCAACGTTTGCGCTCCCTCTCATTCACCTCTCCTCACTCTCTCCCTCTCTCTTTCTCTTTCTGTCTTTTGTAGTTTCAAAACAAAGTCCATTTGTTATTGTTGGTCAATTTTTTTCAACGTACAGTAGAGACAACATTTAAAATGCTATTATCTAATCGCTGCTGCGCCTCAGCTTGTGTGTGTGTGTGTGTGAGAGAGAGAGTGCGCACTTGCCTTGGCGATAAGCCTAAGCGCAGTGTTTAGTTATTTTTATTAAATTATGAACACAGGCAACTAAGTTGAGGGCCCAAAAATAAAAATTTTAATATACACACATATATATGCATATACACACATATATAAAAACTGACGAACAAACTATTTATAAAGAAATTTGTTGTGTGTGGCTCAAAACTGGTTTAACCTGTTCGCAAATGCTGTAGGCCAAAAAGAAGAGGAAAAAAAACACAACACCATCTAACAATAAACTAATTAAATCAAATCAAAATACGTCGCAAAAGTGCGCACAGAGAGAGCGAGCAAGTGAGCGAGCGAGCGAGAGAGAGAGAGCGAGATAAAAAGAGATTACCAGAAGAGAGGCATATAAAAATAGCTCAAGAAACTGTTCATTGAAAATTATAAATAAAATGTTTAAGAATGTTTTAAACATATACATCTAGATGATTGCATATATACAAACATTTTACATATAAACATTTCAATATCATATGCAAAATGTGCGAGATAACAAAGCAAATTGGCCGACACGCTCGTGTGATACGGGGGCCCCACATTGTATTTGTATCTGTTAGATACTTGCCGTGTATCTGTAAGCGACACGCACTCGCGAGCATTCTGAGCATTCTACATGTCTACAACGCCAACTTCAATTTGCCAGTTGCTCAATTTGTCAATTTGTCCATTTGGTTAGTTTAGTTTAGAGCTTCGCGTATCGTTGTGTTTGTCTTGTAGATCCGTTAAGGCCGTCTTAATGCCCAAGTTTGTTTGCTGCTGCATTAGCAGCAGAGAAGTATTACGACTGAACCGCAAACGCAACTCGCTCTGTGATTATGTAATATCAATAAAAGTGTTGTACACTGAATGAAAATGTTGCCAGTTCTCCAGCAGAGACCATAGAACTTACGGTAAACATATTTATTTGTGTTCTTAAATGCTTTTATAGAATAAAGATGTATGTCTAACCAATATACAATATAGATAAGATGATAGATAATCTAACCATGGGGATGTAAATTATGTTTAACTATAGAGCATAAAGAAGCTCTGCGTGCTTCCAAATAAAATTTAACGATATATAAAAAATGATAATAATAACAATGAATAAATAAATAAATTAATTAAAAATTTAAATAAAAGTAACAAATTGCAACACTTTAAAACTCTTATATTATAGCCTTACTCTTATACATTTTCTTTGAATCATATAATACGTAGCTTAGCTTTGAAATTCATATGTTATGGATATTTTCTATGTTTTAAATATAAAGAAATTTAAGTCTCAAACTATTAAATAATATATTCAAAAGTCAAACTGAATTGAGATTTGATTCATTTTGTCTGCAGTAAATGAATTGACCATTCCAATCAGAATACCATTCTGTACTCCACTTTTTCGCTCAGTGCACACTTTTTGCCACACTCAATCTTATGCACCACAATCGCTTTCCGACTGTCTGATAGCCGCCCTGCCCTGCAAATGTCTGATAAACGACTTCGACTAACTGAAGCAAATGCAATCAACAATTGGAAATCAGAAATAGACTACGACAACGATTGTCTGTCGGACTGTCTAATATGTGTCTCATAAACAATTACACACACACATACACACACACACATTGAAGATTGTTTTCAAATAAATGTGAAATGAGATATATTGAAGGAAAAAAATAAATACAAAATAAAAATAATAAAATATAGTCATCAATTATTGCATAGATATATAACAATTTTATTTATTAATTTATACTTTAGAAAAAGATTTCACGTTTTCATATGCTTTAGATATTCTTTATTTATAAGATTATTTTGAATATATATATATAGATATTTTATATACCTTTTATTTTCCCAAAATTTTGCAACTCCAAGAGCTCAATTAATATTTAAATGCGTTGTAATCCAAGTTTCTTTTCTGAAGTTTGTTTAACTGCATTTTAAGGATCCAATTTATAATTCATATTCATATTATTTGTAATTATTTACATAATTATTTCATTAATTGGTTGCACATTTATTTGCACTTGATTCACGGCACTAGGCAACACTGGCCTAACAATATATATATATATATATATGGTTGATTGTAAATTTATGTTGTTGTTGTTGCTGTTGTTGTATACAATTTGCAAAGTGAAACCGTTGCGTGTATAAATATATATATATATATTTATTTATGTATATTTATATGTATGTACTACTCTATGTGTTGCTATAAATTTGCTTTCTATTGATTTAATTTCAAGGCGAACTCGATATATTTTTGTTTTTATTTTGTTTTGTTATATTTTCAACTTGTGAGAATATATAATAGATATATATAGTATTTATGGATATCTTCTAGAAAATTATATAGTACTTGTCGTATAAGTCAGATCTATAGAGATTAAGTGTGGGCAAAGACCAAAAAAAGAAACAAAACGAAAAAAGTGAAGAGACTATTAGTAAAAGAAAAACTTTAACTTCATAATATTAAGAGTGAGAAAGGAGAACGGTGAGACGGGGGTACGGTTGGCGCACAACAAGACAAGAGTGCGAAACGCAATGGAACCGAAACAAAATATAAATAAAGATACGCGCAGGCGGCAACGACAGCGGCAGCGGCTGCGATAGCGACAGCGACGTACGAAGACGGACCACAAAACGAGTGACGGCAATTGGATTATGAAACGCGGCCGACGCGGCAAAGCGACATGAGAGAGCCCGACGACAAACACACAGAGCGAGAGAGAGAGTGTTGAAGAGAGAATCCGCGCGCGCTCTGAGACGAGCTGGCAATGAAACGCGACACAAAAATTCCGTAACCAAGTTGGAAAAATTGTTGTAAAAAGCAAATAGACACACGAATTAAATACGTTTTCCAGTTAGCTTCCTAAAACGTATATATTCTAATACAATGAATATGGGTTTTATTGTGAATAATTTGCATTGCAAAGACTCCAAAACACACGCACACCAACAATCACGCAGGCACACACGCTCACAATTGAATGCACGCACTTTGCATCTTTTGCTTTTTTTGTTGGGCTGCGCCAAGTGATTTGCTTTTTGCGCACTTTTATATAGATTTTCAAAACTGTAGATCAAACAGCCCAATATATTCACAATTGTTTGGCTAGTTAGATGTGAATTAGATATTTGCAATTTAGGCTGGGGAAACACGCACGACACGCGACCGAAAGACACGTCGACAGTGGGGACAGCAGAGGCTGGCACTTTTTTTTTTTGTTGACTGCCTTGCGTGGGTCCAGCCAAACAACCTTACCAAACGAAATACAAACTCGAACTGAAACACGACGCAGACATACACCAGCTGTGTGTTTGCGCTGTCTTTCAGTTTATTTTGCTTACGCTCTCAGTCGCTCGCTCGCTCACTCTCTCTGTCTCTCTCTCGCTATCTCTCTGTGTCGCTTCGGCTCCTTGTGTCAAGTGTCGTGCGAGCGCTAAAGTTTTTATTGCTTGTTGGCAATGCTCAACAATGGCTGCGCATAGTGCGTCTCTGCTTACACCAGGGCATGACAACCGCCCAATTAAAACGAGATGCAACAACTGCTGCTTCTCTGTGCCGTTTTACAGCTAGTGCTGCGCTCTTCCGATCTCTGGAAGCTACTGCCGGCATTTTCATTTTGCGTGGTGGCCCCACAATTAGCGTATCTCTCACAGATACGCGGCGCTTAACGACAGCCAACGAAAACGACGACAGCGGCTACGTCAAGAACGGTAAGCAAAAACAATAACAACTATTACTGTTTTGTTTTTGTTGTGTTTTTGCAAAAATTTAATGGCGACTTTTGGGAAAAAAACAAAAATATATATTTTCCATTAAAAAATCTTTTAAGACAAAAAATATATAAAAAATAAGCTAAATATATGACATGATAATATTTCATAATTATAACGCACTATAAAATGCAGTATGAATTTCTAAATGACTTTCCGTCTACAAAAATAATAAACCGTTGATCATCTCACACGTCACAACAGAAAGAGATTACAAAAAAATTTCACCAACAAAACACACGGCAAATGCAACAAAAACAAATTTTGATGACGAAACACATGTTGTGTTTGTGATGAGTGCACAAACACAAACACAAATGCAAACACACGTCAGTATGACCAAAGAGAGAGCGCAGACCGCTCGCTACTGCAATTGCTACCGCGCGTTCTCTCTCTCTCTCTCCCTCTCAATGATTCGGCAAGTTGCGCTCATTTGCAGCTTTGTCGCGCTCCGCAACGACAAAAAAATGTAAGCACAAAAATAAACAAAATGGAAAAGCTCTCAACGCCATCGTCGTCGTCGTCGTCACTGTCGCCTTCAATTTCAATAGCACTCAGTGCTACTCGCTGGGTTCCTACACATGCACAGATACGCATAGGCACATATATAAATTTGTACATATAGCTAGACATATACATACATATATACATAGTTTTATTGGCAGCTATTTTGCAGCTTTTTATGGCAATTTTTTAAGCAACGCGCTATCAAATGAAATTTTTTTAATGTTTTCATCTGTATGTAAAAACACAAAAATTTCAAAATCAGAATATTTTTATTTGGCCTATTACTATTAACAGGTTTGCATTGCTGATAAGAAATGTTGTGCTCATTTGAAATTTTCAAATTATATTGAAGCTACTATTAAAGCTTCCTAACACTTGAATATCCACTTCAAAAGCTTTATAATTGCTTGAATATTAACAACATTTTCAATTGCAGGCTCTTGTCAATTGATAAGAAATATCGCGAGTTCAGCATAAAAGAGTTTTTCGTTTATGGTCAGAGATATGATATGCAATCTCTCAACTAGGTCAAGTCAAGATTAAAATTTTCAATATGAAATTTTTTTTAAAATCATTGTAAGAACATTAAATTAAATAACTCATTATATTAAATACAAAGATAAGCATAACCATTTAGAATTTAAGTTCTATATTTTTGATACTCTGATAAATTATCAGAATCTAATAAAGAGATATTTATACTAAGCAATGAAAATGATTCAATATATGTTTAGGTTTATGTGTATGTATATACATATTGTATAATATTCAAATAATACGACGAAGCTATCTGAATGGGGATATTTATAAAAAAAAAGTTTGTTCAATGATGTGATGTGATATTGTTTCAGCAATAATAATTTAATTTGATTATAAAGCAAAATGTAAAACAGAAATGTATTACTAAAAAAAAAAAAAAAAAAAAAAAAAAAAAAATATATATATATATATATATATATATATATATATATATATATATATATATATATATATATATATATAAATAAAATTGCATCAATATTAATTACAACTATACTACGTAATTAACATAAATATATTTATTTAATTTTTGTGCATAACATTTATTTTTAGCAAACGCCTAGCAGAGGCTAAGTATATAATGACCAAATATGACTAAATAATATAAATATAAATAAAACATATACATATATGAATATCCAAAATATATACAAAAAATAAATTAATTAAATTAATTTAAAAATTGTTTGCAATAATAAATGTTAAATTTCTTGTATGTATATTTCATATTATTTACAAAAGGCTTAAAATATTTTCCTCTTCAGATGACGTCATCGCGCTAGAGTTATTTGACAAGGTCCATAAAACGATTTTATGTTTCTTACCACTCAATTTGCAGTTGGGATTTATTTTTTAAGGTTTTTTTTTTTTTTTTTTTTTTTTTTGGTTTTGTCGACACTTTAGATTTTGCTTAAGATTCTTTTTGCCAGCCTTAATTATGCATGACAAATGCAGTTAAGCTGCTGATTGTATGCACATAATTACCACAGAACAATAACAACAACAAGCGATAACTACAACAACAACAACAACTAAAACACTTACCAAAAACTGCCAACAACAAGAAAAGCCAAATGGCAAATGTGCTACTTTAATTGCTGACAGTTTGAAAAACTTGATACTCGCCCAGCGAAACGACAAAGCGAGCATATTTGTGCGCTGTAAATGATATATGAAGTTGGAGATTTGAAATATGGAAAGAAACAGCGACTTGCATTCCTATTATACAGTTATATTTTATTTTTATTTTATATATTTATGTTTATTATATTTTATCTTTATTATATATATTTATGTTTATTATATTTTATTTTTATTTTATATATTTATATTTTTTCATTTTATATGCAATTGGCATTTTGACATATACATTTTTAAAAAGATTAGCTTTTTTGGCTATATGGGCTATCTATTTTCCCAATCGGTAAATCAGAAAATTATATATAGAACCACATTCATTAATCTGATAGTAATTTATAATAAATATTTCTTCTAATTTTTCCAAGTATTTCATCTGAATAATCATGGTCTATCTGCTCAACAGGTATATTTATAAATAATGCCCATTGAGGCGTGGCACCTTAAATAATGTTGGTAATGGCATGTGAACAAGTATTATGCAGTCGGTTCTTTATTGATATTTCACTTTTGTGTCATTTTCTTTTTCGTTTCGTTCTTTTATATTGTATATATATATATATATATATTTATATATATATATATATATATATATATATATATATATATATAAATATATATGTATATATATATTTGTTTGCTTCTTTTTTTGTTTGCTAATATTACAAACAATTAGAAGCAAAATGACGAGAGACAATGCTTAAATGAGAAAAGAAAAACGAATTTGATGAGCAACGAGAAAAACGCAACTGTTGCCAACAACAACACAATTTCCCAAAGTTTTCGCTGGAAAACTGTTTGTTGGCATTGAAGACTCTAGTCATTTGCTAGATGAACTAAGCAGAAAGAAGTGATGCACTAGCAGATACCCTAGACTTGTGCAATATAAATGAAAACTCCAAAGCAAGCGGAATTTGGAACATAATAATTAAATAAAAATAATTAAATAATAACTATAAATATTAATTATAAAGCTGGCGAAGTTTTGAAATTCATTCTTGTTTTGTATTATGTATAAATAATTTATTTAAAATAAGAAAAAAAATTTTAACTAGTTATAGTTAAATTAAAAACATTTTTTTTTTCCTAAGAATACAAAAATTTTGTATATAATTTTCTGTGTGTTAGTTTATAAATTTCATAAAACCGATTTATAAACTTATAGAACTTATCTTAAAATATCCCAAGTACACGCTTAAAAACCTATAATTTTAAGTGAATATTATATATTATTATTCCCCTTAGCAACACCCTCTACAGGGCATATCAGCTTGCCAAAGAAGCCCTCCAAGCCCAGCAAAAAACCAGTAGTTCCCAACGTGATGCCATAAACTTCTGTGTGTTAGTTTATAAACGCTTCTGTGGACCCCCCGCCAAAGCCCACGGCTAGACAAAAATCAAAATCAATGTCTGCTCCACACACACACACAGAAAATAGCAGAAAAAACGTGTGCTACAGGTAAAAAATAGAAAAAGAAGAAGAAGAGACAAAAAAACCAAATCAAGTCGCAAGTTGGAGCGAAAATGAGTTTTGGCCCAAGAATTGCCTTGAGTTGGTTTTACGAAAAGAAAAAGCAGAAAAAAAATGTGAATGAAGGTTTGAGTTTTTTTTTTTTTTTTTTTTTTTTTTTTTTGAGTTTGCCAAGAAAAGGGTACTGCCAAAATAAATATAGTGAATAGAGTTGCAGACAAGATGAAGAATCGTATAACAGTTTTAGTTATGCCCTTATAAAAACTAACAAAAACTCCAATTGGAATACGCTGCAATGGGAGTTCGTATTGAATCTAATTGGATGTAAAACCCATTTGATAAATATTTAAGAATATTATACGTAGTAATATTAAATATTTCACATTATATTTATAATTTTATTTATATTTAAATTTTATAGTACTTATAACTTTTAAAAATATGTTTTTATTATTAGAATAGAAAGCATTTAAATTTCAATGTAAAGATATAAATAAAAAAAATATTTCGTTTATTTTAAATTAATTTACCTTTAAATATTTATATACTAGTATATCTTAAGACTCATTTTGAGTGTAATACTAAAAAAATTCATACATATGTTAAATGAAACGAATATTATTCTTGTATGTATTTATAATTATTTAAGTATTTCAATTCAATTAATTTTTAAATCTAAAACCAAGTTCGAGTTAAAAACCATTTTTCAATTGAATTTCATTTCATTATTTTGACAAATGTTAACTGTGATTTCGCATTGCCCCAAGAAAAAGAAAGGCGAAACAAAACACCTGGCAAACGCTGGCACTATTAAGCCCACCGTCTAATCATTTTGTTGGCCAACTTCTGGACTTC